GAGCTGAAAGACAAGCTTGGGGCGGCGATCTCCCTGCCGGGAATGCGTAAAAGATTTAAGGACAGAATCCTGGCAATAGGTGAGGTTAATAAATGATAGGTTACTGTAGGCGTCTTGGAGGTTAGAAAAGTCCGCCAAAGTCAGATCTTCAGTTACTCTGCTGTCAGGCTGTAAGTAATAAAAAGTGATGAGTTTTCCCATCATCAGTGCAAAACTGTTCTTTGTGTTGTTTTACTGACTGAATTTTACTGTCATGATTTCATTAAATTAGGAGTGTTGATGACAAAGAGGCAAAAAAGACATGTTTTAGAATAGATATTTGCTCATATTTATTTATCCTTTTCTCATAGCTATGAGGAAAGATCAGTCATTGTGAAACATGATGGGGCTGTGTAAATTATGTTGATTATTTATTTTTTTCCCTGATTATACGATAAAGATATTTTCCTTAAATATATATTCATCTTGTTATTCAACCCAGTATCATTAGCAGTTGTCTCCATATTGGACGATTCTGTGATATGATTGCTTTATTTTGCAAATCCAGATGTGATAATATAACGTTCCATCTTTTTTTTAGTCTTTGGTCAATGTAGTCAGGACATGGATGGATTACTGAACTGCGGGGTGTGGGGGCTCCTGAGCCAGAGCCTCTGCTTGAAGTGACTGTTAACATTTCTTATTGGAATCTTAATCAGATGACAGCGACACAAAGAGATGAAAAAGGACATGAGATATATTAAAAAACTACAGAGCAGCACATAACGACTACAATGAGATGCAGAACAACCACAACAAAAACCGTTTCCCTTGCTCCTATAAAACAGTGGTATCTCATTATCTATCATGAATCAGGAATCCAATGTCATTTTTAAAAAATCCAGTATCAATCTTTCCTTTTTTGCTTTCTGCAATCTGCTTGCAGTTGTCTGTGGAGTAAATGGGATGTCAAATCTGAACACTAAACTTGTCAGGGCGTCGACAACGACAGCCAGGCCAAAAACATCACCACGAGTTGTAACCACTGCCAAGACATCGACTACAAAACCAATGACTACCAAACCAACAACTACCAAATCAACAACTATGAAACCAACAACTACGAAACCAACAACTCCCAAATCAACAACTACGAAACCAACAACTCCCAAATCAACAACTACGAAACCAACAACTCCCAAATCAACAACTACGAAACCAACAACTCCCAAATCAACAACTACGAAACCAACAACTACCAAATCAACAACTACGAAAACAACCACTGCCAAACCAAACACTACGAAACCAACAACTACCAAATCAACAACTACGAAAACAACCACTGCCAAACCAAAGACTACCGAAGCAGTAACTACCACAGCAGCGCCTACCAGAGCAATGACTACTGAAGCAATGACTACCAGACCAACAACTACCACAGCAGCGCCTACCAGAGCAATGACTACTGAAGCAATGACTACCAGACCAACAACTACCACAGCAGCGCCTACCAGAGCAATGACTACTGAAGCAGTAACTACAGAGACAATGACTACCACAGCAGCGCCTACCAGAGCAATGACTACTGAAGCAGTAACTACCGAGACAATGACTACCACAGCAGCGCCTACCAGAGCAATGACTACTGAAGCAGTAACTACCGAGACAATGACTACCACAGCAGCGCCTACCAGAGCAATGACTACTGAAGCAGTAACTACCGAGACAATGACTACCACAGCAGCGCCTACCAGAGCAATGACTACTGAAGCAGTAACTACCGAGACAATGACTACCGCAGCAGCGCCTACCAGAGCAATGACTACTGAAGCAGTAACTACCGAGACAATGACTACCGCAGCAGCGCCTACCAGAGCGGTGACTACTGAAGCAGTAACTACCGAGACAATGACTACCGCAGCAGCGCCTACCAGAGCGGTGACTACTGAAGCAGTAACTACCGAGACAATGACTACCGCAGCAGCGCCTACCAGAGCGGTGACTACTGAAGCAGTAACTACCGAGACAATGACTACCGCAGCAGCGCCTACCAGAGCGGTGACTACTGAAGCAGTAACTACCGAGACGACTACCGCAGCAGCGCCTACTAGAGCGGTGACTACTGAAGCAGTAACTACCGAGACAATGACTACCGCAGCAGCGCCTACTAGAGCGGTGACTACTGAAGCAGTAACTACCGAGACAATGACTACCGCAGCAGCGCCTACTAGAGCGGTGACTACTGAAGCAGTAACTACCGAGACAATGACTACCACAGCAGCGCCTACCAGAGCGGTGACTACTGAAGCAGTAACTACCGAGACAATGACTACCGCAGCAGCGCCTACTAGAGCGGTGACTACTGAAGCAATAACTACCGAGACAATGACTACCACAGCAGCGCCTACCAGAGTGGTGACTACTGAAGCAGTAACTACCGAGACAATGACTACCACAGCAGAGACAACAACCCAAACGCCTATAAGGCGAAAGCGGGAGGCTAACACTACCAGCCAGGAGTCTGACACGAAAGAGATGGAAAGGCTAAAGGAACTGCTGAATGAAGTAGAAATTAAGTTTATTGAGGAGGAACTGGAGCAGGATGACCATAGAATGACTGATGAGGACAAAGAGAGGGAGGAAGGGGATAGGCTGGAGCTTGAGGAAGGTGAAAAATTTAAGAATACATCCTCCCGTCCTCTCAGACACAAGAGGAGTCCACTGCCCCCTGTCTATTATGGGCTCTTCCAGCTGTCTGACAGCTACTTCTGTAATTCTGGTAATCCCTGGTCCACAAACAAGTGCGATACAAGCTGCAGAGGTGAGTGTTTCAACCAGACACACACACAGAAAATAAAAAAAAACATTATTTAAATAAGATGTTTAAAATTTGCATATTATAACTTTTTTCTATTCCCATACTCCCCAAAGCCTTCACTGATGACGACATAATGGATGACATTAATTGCTTTGTGAAGACGGATTACTGGCTGTAAGTTTGTCTTCAGCAATGTTAAAGTGATGCTTATCTGAAATGTACCTTTTGAGACGCACCTCCTATTATACTCTATGAAAGGAGGAGTATATACACAGGTCAAATTGTGACAAGTTAATTTTATTTTATTTACATGAACAGACGGATGTATCGTATATACAGCCAGCTTAGGTATGTTAGCCATATAGCATGATTAGCATTAGTTACAGTTAGCTTTGCTGCTACTCGACAGTATAAACGGTTATATCCTCACATTTAGGTGGTAAGAATAGTTACACAGAAAGAAAACATTTCCAGAAAGCTGGAAGCTGGACTTGGTTGAAGATACTCGAAGATGTTTGTCATCCATGACAGTTATCATGGTCATTGGAGCCACACCTGAGACCAAGTCTGAATGATTGTTGATGGTCATTGGCAATCAAGCAGTATGTATCACCTCGATAATGACCCCACAGAGGTTGGCAGGGATGCCAGCCAATCAGAACTGAAGAAGCCTCTTGGAGGAAAGGTGAAACATCCTTAAGTATCTCCAACCAAGTCCACTTAAATTTTAACCCACCTTGGATAGATTTTAGTTTTTACATTTTTGCCGGAAAGGTGGTGTGCTGAACCTTCTCTGCATGAAGGGCTAAGGAAGTGATATTATCAATTATTTTGTCCACCTCACTTAAATTAAGGAGGCTAGGCTAAAAAACAGAAACACGTCTCCGTCTAATGCAGTAGGCCTACCTTGTTTTCCCACATCTGTGGGAATTGCTTGAGGTCTCAACAAGCCCCGGTGTGCGTCACAGTGGAAGGGCCCTTTGAACGCTGCTTGCAGCTTTAATTTTACATTAACATTATTACCTGGTTTTTAGTACTTTTCTACTTGTGTGCCTTATGTTGTATTGTCCTGTTTTGAACTTTTTATACAGCCATCCTGGCCAGGTCTCCCGGGTTTCCGACCTCAATCGTACTTACCTGGTTAAATAAAGGATCAAAAAAAGATTTTAGGCAGTATTATTCTCTTGCTGAATACTGGGTCACATTGAAGATTGTACTGTATATACATTTGAGTACTGTATCCAGCCGGGGAATCTACAAACAAATAAAATTGTAGGTGTGGGAACTAACATAAAAAACAGTGAGGTGTAATAAAGCAATAAAATTGTGGGATCAGATGCTGCTTATTGACACTAGTAACTGCTGTTTTAACAAACTGTTTTGCTTTTTTCCCCCATTAAAACAGGGAAGTATTGAGGAACGCCCCTCAACAGTGTTTCCACACCGAGAACTTCTTTGACGGATGTAAATGAGCATCTATCAGAACACATTCTATCTGCAGAATGCGATTTAAAATGCATCGTTGTCTCCCAAACATTGTGAAGAATTCTTTTATATATTTTAGAAATCAGTGAGCCCCTTCATTCACCAGAACTTGAGGTTAAACTTTACATTACATTTATTCATTTAGCTGACGCTAAGCGACTTACAATTGCTACATATGACAGAGGTCGCACGCCTCTGGAGCAAGTAGGGGTTAAGTGTCTTGCTCAGGGACACAATGGTGTCTCACAGTGGAAAATAATTCTTGCATCTTCTGCTATCTACAATCTTTCAATAAACATGATTTGCTGATTGGTATGTGTTTGAGAATGTGTTTATTATAGCAACACAGAGTATTCAAAGATAAATATGTCCTGATCATGCTATTAATTCTGATAACATACAGTCAAACAATCAAAAACAAAAAAACACAGGCTCCATAAAACCAAAGTGTGCGGTACTGTAGGTACTCTGTGTTTCCTTTTACGTCACATCACGTAGAAATAGAGGCTCAAGAGCATTGTTGGTAATTTGAGAAATGTTAAAGTATATCAGAAAATGTATTTAAAGTATCAAAAGTAAAAGTAGTAATTTGTGCAGTAAAATGTTCCCTGTCTATGTTTCATTATTATATTTGATATTTGCTCTGTTCAATGATGGCTAACGCTACCTCAACTCAGAGCAACTCGATTGTGATATTACCGATTGTGGCCAAATTTAAAAACAAAGCAGGGGGCGCTAGTGAGCCATTTTGCCATTCCCATGCACAACATTCGTATGCCATAAGGACATTTTCACCATAATCGAATGCTGTGGAAAGTTTGAGTTTTTGAGCATGTTTAGGTCGCAAAAAATGTGATTCATTTGGGAAAATAATATTTCCTTGCATTTAAATAGGGTCCTCGCATGCTTCATGCTCGAGCCTAGCATAGGAACAAAAAAGTAAATGACACAATGCCAAAACCACACAGACAACGAGAAGTAAGTGAGGGAAAACTGTCCAGGGAGCTTAGCAAAGGGGCTGGTGTTCTGAGTTCTGGCCACAAGGAGCAGGAGTCGACGGGGCATCATCAGGGACCAGGAGCTGATGTCGGCAGTTGAGTACTCAACAACAGACAATGGGAAGACACTTCAAGAGGAAGGTGATTAACAATGCACAGGTGGGAACAATCAGGGTGGAGCCAACAATTTCACAGGAATCTCGTATTTCATTTTGTAAAAAGTCATATTTATTACAGTAATTGTTATTTTCTTTGGAACTTCCTCTCTGCAAAAACAAACACCACCGTCCCTCTAATACCTTAAATTTATCTTATTTATAACAGTAGTAACAAAACAGTATACTGTGTGTCTGCGTGTGTCTTTGCAGGCGTTCAGGATAAGTGGGAGTAGCTGGCCTGTGAGCCCAAGTTGGTAACTGACTTTCCCGATACCGGGGAGGTAATCGATGTTCTGTCCAAAAACAGCGGCCCTTTGTGTCAACAGAGACGTCTGGTGGGCCGCCATCATGGTGAGGTCGGCTTAGCCGGTAAGTTTCGTTTCTTTCGTCAGATTGAAGTAGAGAAGAAGAGTTTGCTTTGGCGGAGGCGGTCTTTATCGGCTTCTGCTGGCGACCCGTAGGAGCTACACAGACATCCAGGATATCAATCGATTCGTCTCTTCAATACGAAGAGAAAGAGCCCTGTAGGATGTTCTGTTCTCAAGATGTGGCCTGTAAAGCATGGGAGTGCTTTTGGTCATATATATTGACTGTTTTTGTCAATATTATTGGAACGTGGTTGTATGGAGCGAAACAATGTTTTGAATATAACGCCCAATAAAAGTGAGCATATATACAGTAAATATGGCCAAAACATGGAAATTCACCTGATATATTTTTGAAAGATTGTGTAATAACTTTTGTGTATCAGTTTCTTTTCATCAAATTTACAGTTACAGTTGTATTTCAGGCGTATTAGAAGATGTTCAGGTGCATTATAAACTACCTTATGAGGGTTGTGATGGTTTATTGCATTAAAATATAGCTTTTTACCAGGTGAGTATGAAAATATCATATTTTTTCTGTATTGCACCTCCATGTAGTCTGATGATTTTTGCCTTTTGAGTGTTTCTGTGTGCTTGGTGTTTGTCTGTCTCCCCTTCCTTGTTTTCCAGAGCTGGTGGGCGTGGCCTTCAGCGCACCTGTTGGGCATTACCTCATCACCAGTCCCTATTTAACCCTGGCCAACTCTCCAGTCCTCGCTGATTGTTGTGTAACCCTGCGTCTCTGTTTGCCTGCTTACGCTAGCTGTTTCTTGTCTTCAGGAAACCTGCCCTGCTTCTGTGGTTCTCCGGTCTTCCCTGCCAGTCAGCACACCCTCTGGAGTTTCCCTCACCTCGTCTGCTAGCCCTCTCCTTCGGAACCCAGGCCTTGCCTCACTCCCCCATCAGTTTTCCCTCAGTCATTTCATAAATAAAACTCTTTTGTTCATCTCCAGCTCCAGTCTGCTCTTGGGTTCTGTTACCAGCCCTGACAGTTAATATACAATGGATTTATATTCCTTAGCTTCTGCCCTTTCAAAGGAGACTAGAAATATGCACCTAGATCTAATGATTGAGGAGATATTACTGATTTATTTTGGGTATGTTATTTTAGGAAGTTTTTCCTGGAAATAGGTGCCAGGGTCCATGTGGTTATTAAGCCTGCCTGTATAGACGGTGGTTCCTGTTCCACCCCGCTCTGTCATGCTACCTTCTAGTTTTGTTCTGTTCTTACATTGACAACACGCACCACATATTAACACATGCACCATCTTACACTACTGATATGACTGATTTCCACACCTCATTGTTACTCCTTGGTTGCTGTATTAATAAACTTCCGTTTATTATTATTAAGTTCAGTTGCATCCTCCTTGTTTGTTGCGGCTTGAGAGCCGGGGTCGTAACAGTTAAGAGACCGTCTCCTGCTCTCCTAAAGAATGTCCCCCTGAAAGAAAACAACGCTTTCCTCACAATTTCTGAATTACATGCAGTAAACAATAAATGACAGTTGGGTGCTGTGAATGATGAATGAAAAATCAAGTTTATCACATCAGTTTTCAATTCACCTCATTTTTAATCACTCTGTTTTTCAATTCACATGCATTTTCAGCACCTCCATTTTGTCCATTTACTTTTTGTTACCTCCACCCTTGAGGCTACTTTCTTTAAATGATGAATGCCAATTTTGAGTTGTGAATGATTATTGGTAAATGAAAATGACCAAACATGGTTCTGTTTTCATCACATTTTAATCAAATCGATTTTAAATGAATCAAATCACTTGAGCATTCATCACTCTATTTTTCCTTTCACATCCATTTTTACCACCTCCATTTTTAATTATTATTATTATTATTATTTCCAACTCTCATAGGCAAGTACCTCAAAATACTTTTACTTACTTAAGTAGAGTTAGAGCAAATTGTTCAGTTGTAAAATGAATTCTCATGTACAGACGAGTAACCTTACTGTTCAGTTACACTTTAAGTGTATTTTTTTGTTCTGATGATTTTAGTTTGCGCATGAATGTGAAAAGAATGTTTTAAAACATAAAAAATAATCATAAATAAACTCAGTTATTAACAGCTTTAGTGGGTTTCTATAAAGTGCTTTTACCTTTTTTGTGAGAGCATGTTTTAAAGTTTTAGGAGACTGTGCATGTTGCAGGGGTGGCGCGGTGGTGCAGTGATTAGCACTGTTGCCTCACAGCAAGAAGGTCATGGGTTCTCTCCAGACGTTCCGGCTTCCTCCCACCATCCAAAGACATGCTTGGTTGATTGGTGGCTCTAAATTGGCGTGAGTGTGACTGGTTGTCTGTCTGTGTGGCCCTGCGATGGACTGCCAACCTGTCCAGGGTGTACGCCGCCTTTCGCCAAGTGTAAGCTGGGTTTGGCTCCAGCCCATTGCGACCCTGTACGCAGGATAAGAGGTTGACGATGGATGGATGGATGTTGCAGTTGCAATATCTGAGTTTGTAATCCTTTGGTAATTTGTGGAATTTTTAGAGCCACAGTGGCATCATGTGGCCACAGGAGGGGGCTATTGTGTTATTGTTTTAACAGCACCTGTATTTAAACAAGTCTTTGATTTTCTGTGATCTTTACATGCACATGAAGGTTAATGACATCATCGTCATCACCATTCTCAATCTGTAGGATTTAATATGGAGTTGGCCCACCCTTTGCAGCTATAACAGCTTCAACTCTTCTGGGAAGGCTGTCCACAAGGTTTAGGAGTGTGTTCATTCTTCTGCAAGTGTATTTGTGAGGTCAGGCACAGATGTTGGACAAGAAGGCCTGGCTCACAGTCTCAGCTCTAATGAAGTCAGGCCAGTCAAGTTCTCCACACCAAACTTGCTCATCCATGTCTTTATGGAACTTGCTTTGTGCACGGGTCTGCAGTCATGTTGGAACAGGAAGGGGCCATCCCCAAACTGTTTCCACAAAGTTGGGAGCATGAAATTGTCCATGTCTTGGTATGCTGAAGCATTAACAGTTCCGTTCACTGGAACTGTTGTTCCCAATTGCTTCCACTTTATTATAATACCACTTACAGTTCACTGTGAAATATTAAGTAGTGAGGAAATTTCAAGAATGGACTTGCACAGGTGGCAACCTATCACGCTAGAATTCACTGAGCTCCTGAGAGCTACCCACTCTTTCACAAATGTTTGTAGAAGCAGTCTGCATGCCTAGGTGCTTAATTTTATACACCTGTGGCAATGGAAGGGATTCATCCATCCATCCATCGTCAACCGCTTATCCTGCGTACAGGGGAGCTGGAGCCAATCCCAGCTGACATTGGACGAATACTAAAATCATCTAAAACGGATTAAAAACCACTCTCTCCGAGACTTTTGACAAAAAAGGGAGATAGGTCTAAGGTCAAGTTATTTAACTTGCTGTACTTGTGCTGTAGTTGGAGACATTTTGTAATGTGGTGTAATTGTTTCTTTATTGGCAAATGCCCAATCAGTTTGATATTCTGTTTGGGTTTCCCCCCTGTTGGTAACAGCTGCAGAACCTGTTTCATATAATATGTGACATGTGTTCACATGAAGAACCTATGTCCCAACAACCGGTATGCTTATTTACAACTTTTGATGGAACAAAGCTTCATAGTTTTCTGACTCCTGTATTGAATCACACTCAGGTATTTCCAGCTGATTAGATCTCTACACAGGTTGAATGCATGAGCTCATAAAAGTCTGTGTGCTAATAATACACATGTTGTAGCTGAGTCAGGTCTTCTCCCGAGAATTGTGTGTAGTGCAATTGAAAGAATAATAGAAAAAGAGAAATAGCTTATGGTTTTGGAAATTTGAGGTGAGGTTTTGCTCTTTCAGTGAGATGTTTCAAAAACCGTGTGTAAGCAGTTGTAAAAAACTGTAACTGACAAAATGATCGTGTCAAATACTAACTGGAAAGTGAGATAGCAATCAAGCAAAGTTGGCACTCCACCTGACAGTCATGAGGAGTTATTAGGTGAAATATGAGATTGAGTGTACAGAAGAACATGCAGAAAAATGATGTCTTAAATTGTGATACGAGAATGTTTGTTTCTCAGAGCACCTGTGTGGGTGTTTACTGTCCCGGTGTAAGATGAGACAGAAACAATGTCTTCAGTTGTGACATGAGAAGGTTGGTACATTACCTACTGAGGTCTGTTTGTCCCTAACTGGGGTCATTGTTGAGTATGCAGAAAAACTAACTGGTTTGACAGGATTACTCATCACTGGGGGGAAATCCACACCAGTGCTTTATGGGCAACAGTGTTAGACATGAGCTGGAGACATGCTCTACATCAGTGGCTCCCAACCCTTTTAATCATTTTAAAATTTGCTCAAACAGATTTGTTCTTTAGTGGCACCTACAAATGATTTCAGAGAAACCTTTTTCTCAAACTTTGAATATGAATATTAATCATCATGACCTGCAAATTTACTGAAAGATTAAACATTCTTTGTCTTTTATGTAGATTTTATTGGCATATTTTGCCACAACAAATGAAGCTCTGCCCAGGAAGACTGTCCTTATGTGTCACTCATTCACAACTCTCTCTCTCCCTGCCTCTAACAGCTGAATATGGTTGTTCTCACCTAGTTTTTCAATAAGGTTTCGCCATGATCAACTCAGCCAATCATGTACTATCACAATATGAATCTGTTCTCTCCTCTGCTGACAGCTGTACATTTCTCTACGTATCGCTACGGCCCTCCTCCACCCCATTCACATCCTGCTCATCAAATGCAGGCCCAGATCAGCTCAGCAGAAGCCTTCACATCTTGCAAATTTACACTCCATCAGGGGGGGATTTCAACATCTCTGCAGCTTCAACCCCTTTTAAAATACCTTTCAACACAACAGAGTCTAGATGGAATGCAAATGAGCCCGTTCAGTCAGTTCGACATGACTTAACTTTAACATGTGCAATTGTCTCTTTAGTGCAGTTTGAGAGAAGAAGCAGGACTGACCTCTCACTCAGAAACTTTTAATTTTCTTATTTTATCACTTTGTTGAAATAACACAAGAAGCAGAGAAGGCAGGATGCTGATTGGCTGCAGCGAGTGCAAGGACAGTGACAGAGGTTAATGACAGTAGCGTGTGTTTCATTAGAAGATCTATAATTTACAACTTTGTTAGCTCACTATCTTTTCTAGCTCCTGTAGTTGAGTGTAAAACGTCAGGGATTTAGAGGGAGTGTACATGGGTCATCCATGAAAGGCAAAAACATCTGACACTTCCTGCACGACAGCACACAAATTACAAAACACTTTGCATAAAGGCCTTCTCTGTTTTAGAGACCAGAGTTAAACAGGCTTTTAAAAGTTGAGTTATGATGGAAAAAACAACATCAACCCAAATTACTACAGTCGATCTGTTTGAACATTACTCAACATGGACTGAATGTCCTGCATTATACTGTTTGTCATCAATTTCCCCTGCTAAATAAAGACAGAAAAACTGGTGTGATTTAAGGGTTCCAGTCACACCAATAAACATCCAGGGAGCCACCACTGAGCACAGTGAAGTCATGAGAGTTTGGGGTTTTAGTGCAGTATGATTAAATTGTATATTTTTTTATCATAGTATTTAAAATATTTATTATCAATGAGTACTCTGGGTCATTTTAACAGACTTAAACTATTCATTTTATTTTCAAAAAAGTAAAAGTAGTTGAGAGGTGGGAAATAACTGAGTGAGCATGTCTAAAACTTATGCCCCTCTGTGCGCTTTTCACCACTCAGGGTGCCGTAACAACAATTCAATTTCAATTTGCTTTATTGGCATGAATGTCAAAAGAACAGTGTTGCCAAAGCTAGGGTAATACAAAAGAACAATTCAATTCATACAGTTCATTTAATAAATCAAATCAAATAAATAAAACACTAAATGTGTGTCTGTGTGTGTGTGTGTGTGTGTGTGTGTGTGTGTGTGTGTGTGTGTGTGTGTT